TGCAGGTGCGGATCAACTAGATTATATTCCGCATGAGCAGGATGCTGTACACTTTAATTCAAAGTACTTTGTGTCAAGCAAACCAAGCATATGAAGCAGTTGCACACAATTCCATATTGCTTTCTAATTCGGTATGAATAAATGTGTAAAAGTCTTTGCCATACCTGTTCATATTGTACTCTGTTTCCAGTTGTTGTACACATACGTTAAACGTTATACGTTATTTTCTGTTTTCTTTTGACATCTAATAATGAGTCTTTGTCAGTTGAATTCACTAACAAGTAGCTTTCTTGCTCAATTAGCTGCTCTAGATGTCTCACCTCATTATCTAAGCGTTTAGTCATTGCTTTTCTTAGAGATTTCTTTTCACTTCCCGTTTCTTTCTGAATTTCAGTTTTGCAATGCACCAACCACCAATATATCTCAATTTGCCCCTACCACCAATTGATCCTTTGCGTATTTCTGCGGACTTGTTACTCTCGCTTGCTTCTTTCTTGATTCTTTCAACTGCTCTTTTTACAATGTGTCTTCTGAGTGTCTGAATGATACAAAAACATGCTCTGTAGTGTACATGCTTGTGTGATTCTGTCTGGAAGAGTATTCTCACAAGGTCTTTATATGCTGCACTTTGTTGAAAAAGAGTGATCTCTTTGTAAAAGGCTGTTGTATCAACTTTGACCTTTCCAGTCTACATGTGAAATACATTTTCGAAATTTAATTTCGAATGTGTTCCATATGTGCCTGGGAAATTTCTCAGTGCGGTCTAGTTTCCGAGTCATGTAATCCAGTGTACTGTTCAGATCAGTCTATTGTGGTGTAGCAGGTTCCTCGTACCTTGAACTTTCCAATGATTTCTTAATATCAATATCCTCTGGCATGGCATAAGCCAACTCAGGTTCAACCACTGGTCTCGCCAACTCTGGTGACAAATGAGCCTCTAACTGCTCCACCTCTCTTATCATTTCGGCATCACTGTCATGATCATCATCAGTAGCTGGGTCATCATCATCTGGTGGCTGGTCAAACGTAGTTCCATTTCCATTGTCTGTGTGCACTGCACACGTACACCAAACTTTGTCTTTTTTTAATTGTACAGAAACCGAATCATAGTATTGCACGACAGCATCAGAATGTTTTCTCAGTAATTTTGAACTGAAGTTCACAATTTTCAGTCTTTTCTTGGCTTTAGCCCTACCAATAGCAACTCCTATCTGACCTGGGTTGTACATATTTCGACAATCAACTTCTAGTCTATCCAGAGTCCTTGTGCACGGTGCACGGTGATTGCAAATGCCAATCTTAATGGAATTTATTTTTTCTCCAATTTTCATTGTGTCCATTTATACCTTCCGTCTGTCTGTACACACGTTTGAGGATGAAGTGATGTGGCACCAGTGTCTGAATGTTGTCTGCTTCTATGAAGAGGCATCCTGGATCACCCTAGCGTGTACTGGGCACTGGTTTTAGTTGATATAGCCTAGAGTTTTGTCTTACTTTCCTGCAAAGCACTTCAATCTGAAGAAACAGTTTCAAAGAAAGCATTGAGATTTCATCAACCATCATTACACCACACTTTTAAATTCTCCGTTTAACATCCAGGTAATTGGAATTGTTCGTGACACGTTCAATGAGTTCATCATCGGAAAATCTTCCGTCCATAATCCCAAAAAAGCTATGGATGGTTGATGCTAATGGCAGCAAAGTTGCTGGAATTCCAGTAGTTGCCGTCATCTGTACGGATTTCCCACTTGCCTCTAACATGTAATACATTGGTTTTAACATGCATGTTTTTCCAGTTCCAGCCTGCCCCAAGATCAAAACATTATTCCCGTCGCGCACAGCCTTTTCAATTTGCTCTTCCATGTTGGACGCTAAGCACAATGTTTATATTCAACCACCTGACGGCGAACATGTGATCCTGATCCGACCATGCATTTTATATTCTGTGTGTGGATTACCATCTCCCACAGTCAGTAAGGCTTTATCATCTTTGACAAGACCGGTAACTTTACGTTTAAGAGTAGATTGGAGAGTCTTGGCCTCCTTGACAGTGGCTGGTAGTGTCAACGTTTCACTATTATTTTCAGACATGTCGGTTGTTTTCAACGAATTTTACATAAATTGGCGATATCAGTAGGCACACAGTCACAAAGATTCACGATTGATAGACTATGTATTTAGCTAAACTGTTCGACAGTCCTTTTCCACTTTCTAACACGACAACGACGTGACACTCGGTGGTTGAATTGAATTAAATTGGCTTGAATTCCAATCCGTGTCAGAAAGTTTGTTGGCACAATTCCCTAGTTTTCGACAATTTGGCCGGATTGGCATCTATCACCTAAGGTTGAAAAAGCTGTTAAGGATTCACCACGTTGAAGAATTAGATTGTAGTCATGACGAATACACGTTTTTGTCCAACTTTAATCTGTTTAATATTTACTGGTCAGGTAGAAATTCATTTATCAATACTTCAACCATTCCACTGAGGGTACGCCTTGAATGCTTTTGAAGGTACTCGTGCTTAAAAATGCCGTTCTGACGTTCAATACCATTGTTAGTATTGACACTGACAAGAAGACGGTCACTGTGCCTGCCTCGATGACGATAAAACAACAATAGACGACGATAGATGACAGTCGTGACAAGTTCTCTTGTACTGGCTTAGATACGAAGTTTTTATTCACGTAATGCTGTTGTCTTGGTAGTAATGCTGGTTTCGCTTTAGCAAGAGGATTCGGATTCTGGACTGTCAGACATAACTTGTCATGAACAATTGCAACATTGGAGACTGGTGCCATGGGAGGTGTGATTCTCCGAGTCACAAGGTTTTTCATATATTTTCAATATTGGAATCAGCTCGGGTCTAATAAGATCGATGCTCCACACAAGGGGAACCTATACCGGGTCAGTTAGGGATGTACCAACACGTGTTACCTCTGCCCCTGAGAGAATCACAGACTCACCTATGGTTAGCCGAGTTTTACGAAACCTGCGCCTGGTTGTTTTATCCTTCTCCCGGTTTTTCTCGCATCTTCCGTCGGCTAAGTACACTAGCCAGATGATGATTAATCCCTGAAGAGAGAAACTGGTAATCCATTTACTCAGATCAGGCAAGGACTACGCCTTAGTTAATTTCTCAATAGGTGTCACTCCAATGTTGTCATTATTAACTATAATTTCTGACGTCAAATTATCAAGTATTAAGTTGCTGTCTTTTAACTCTTGCAAGTACATTCCAAATCCTGATGATGTTATCACAGCTGCCAACACTTCTAACCTGATTGGTGTTGCGTCAGCAGCTAAGGCTGTGGGGAAAACAAACATTTCTGATGTGGTGTGTGTCGTCTTAGAGTGCATGACTACCCTGTCTCCAACGGAGTACGAACATTTCGCTTTGGGTTTCCAGAAAACATTTCCTCGCAATGTTGTGTTTGAAATGGTTTTCTTGCACATCTCAGCTATATGTGCAACTCCGGAAACCCACAAGCCATCTTGGGTCGGTGTAGTAGCCCAAGCTCGAGGAGTTGGGATAACTTTTGTTTTGCAGTACGCAAGCGTCGAATCTCTGATCATGGATCTCCAACAATCCCCTAGTCCACTGTCTAAGTGAACAAGATCAGTCAGTGCAAACCATTCTATCTGGTTAACATCGGTTTCGTCTTTCATTTTGATTTCGGCATAAGTGTTGAGATACAAGTCTTTCGCTACTAATACTGAAGTGACTGGGGACATGCCAATGTACCCTAGTTCCACAATTGGAAGAGGTGTAATTCTAACGATTGGATTTTGTAGTCCACTTATGGGCACCATGCGGAAAAGGTTAATTTGATCATACTCTCCGTCTCCGACATCTAAGGGTTTCCAGTCCTTCTGACAGAAAACCTGCGTAAGTTGATTGACAGGTATAGGTGAATCGGTTATCCCAGCAACAGCCCTGTACAACTCATTGTAAGGTTTTGTTCCAATTAGACACCATTTATCTGGAATATTGCCTTGTAGCAACTGAGCCTTGATTCTCCAATAGTGCCGGAGTTGTGCATCAAAGAGTGATTGGCCCAATTCTAGCAGGGAAAGTGCATTCCTTGCCTCCATAGCATAGATGGCATTATAGACCGGCAGCCCAGAGGCTTGAGGGTAGACGAACTAGGTACCAATATCTACGTATTGGAGTATACAGGGTGTCACCTAAGACTTATAGAAATGCTATTCTGGCGGGTACCCCCCGTTGCGTATAGCCAGGGGACCCCCCAAAAGGGTGTAAAAACGGGTCTGAAATAGATGATCATGGTACCAATTGCAATAAGTACCATGGTGAGGTAACTGCTAAATATACATCAAAAACATATACAACAGAAATTTTCGCTGTTGTTAAAGGCCCGCCAGACCCCCCAAAAGGGCCTAAATATTTAGGCTAGAATAGACGAGACAGGTACCAAGTGAAAGTGATGCCAAATGATCAGGTTCATTCCATAGAGCACAAAACAGGCTACGCCAGAAATTTTGCCTGTTGTACAAGGGGTGCCAGACACCCTCAAATATTGTACCCCTGGGCACTGTGGTACATCTAGGCTGGCCTAGATGTTATAGGTACCACTTGAAACTAGGTTTAAGTGACAAAGCACTCCTCTGGGAATACAAAATGGGCAATGACAGAAATGTATTCCAATGTGTTGGTCCTGCCAGACTCCCAAAATAGACCCCTTGGCCCATCTAGGCTAGTCTAGATGTTATAGGTACCACTTGAAACTAGGTTTAAGTGACAAAGCACTTCTCAGGTAATACAAAATGGGCAATGACAGAAATTTATTCCATGGTTTTGGTCCTGCCAGACCCCCAAAATAACGGACGCTACATTCGGGAAGATAAAGGTTCATCGGCCGCGGGTTCCTGTGAGAATAAGACAGTCACAGGCATCATGATCCCAGGGAGGAAAAACAGAGGAACATGACCCTTGCTCCTCCACAGAGAGCTTTAACAAAGACTAATATGAATACTGATTTTAAACTTTGATATGGAAACTTATTGACAAGATTTTATTTCAAAAATGCAAATTAAACTGACAGAGTTAAAAACGGACTCAAGAGTGGGGCAAGTTTTGCCATCCACATCGTACATACAAAAATATCTCTAACGTTTCAACCACGAATATCAACAACATCATAATTGCAAATCCTAAGAGAATTAGGAACATGATATAAAAAAATTAAATCTGGATGAAAAATATAATGATTCAAGAAAACGAATCAGTAGCAAGTAAGTACATGTAGTATCCTTAAGAATCAAGCCGTTGGCTCGTTGATGCGATTCTCAGACTGCTAAATATTGGATTCAAATCAGAAGCCTACAAACAATGACATTTCTCACAGGAATCTAGGGTATACAGTATCGTTCTATGCTTTCAACCTAATATATAGTATATCCTTAAATTCTAACTTCGTGATAGAGAATTTTAAAGGTAATTTGTACTACTGTCATCATTCGCTGAGACAAGACTAGAATGAGGTAGTATTCTCATGTGAAGCACCATCACAACCAGTACTTGCAGCAGTATTTCCAAAACAACATCACTTCCGATAATGCAAGGCATATAGGTCCTATAGCGTAAATGCAACTTGTCAGTTGGCTAAGCAACTTCAGGCCTCGCTCTCACTATCCGAATCGTCACTCCATTCTGGTCCAGAGTCTGTGCCAGAATCATCCGTTGGGATGTCATCAATGTCCTCATTTTCCTGTATCTCTATCGATTCCTCCTCGTGATCATTGCAGAAAAGATTGTCTGGTTCAGCAGGCCCAGGAAACCAATCTGGTACATAATGGCCGTTTTCATTCTTCCATCCATACTGGAGAGGGTCCAGATCTTGGTCCGGTTGTGGGGAGTCTGCATTACCCCATATGATGCTCACATAATGCGCACGCTGTACTTTATTCCACATGGTCTTTCCACATGGGGGTAGCAGGGCACAATCCACTTTCTTGACTTTCGCCATTGGGTTTTCCTGAAACGACAAGAGGAATGAATGCAGGAGGTACCGGTACAATGATATTATAAGGTCAGTTGTGTAAAGGTGCCTCTCCACTTATGAGTTTTTCTCTTGATGGGCAATTCACATTTTTTTTCATTCATGTTCTCTCACCTTACTTATTTTGCCAGTCAGCTGAACAAGCTTGTTGAACCTTGCCTCGTTCACATCATTCACTTTGCTCATTCCATATAGGGAGCACACGTACACTTCTGCGATCTTTCTCGTTAGTTCCCCTCTCGACGACATGCTGCTGAAGAACTGGATCATTGTCATCTTCTAGTAGCTCGTACGGCTTGATTTTCCCTTTTCTGTAGAATGCCGCTGTAAAGTCACAGCCACTGAAAGCATGTAGGTCTGGCAAAGCGGCTGCTAGACCTGTTTGTTTCGTCTCTAAAGCCCTGGCAATGCTGGTGACATCAATGTATCTTCTACTGTTGCCAGAACCACAATCCATGATGATCATCTTCAATGGTATCCCAGCCACCATGTTCCGTCCGAGCATGCCCAAGATTATTACAATCACATCAGTGTCTGAGGCTCGGATGAGTAGGGTTCCAGTGGCTGTAGCAGCATGAAATGCTAGAAGGGTGTCTGCTTCCTCATGGCTTCCTTGCAACAAGTTTGGGTGGTCAACAGTCATCTTCTCACTAACTTCATCGTACTCAATGCGAAGGCATTTGCCCCCATGTGATACAATTAGTGTCTTCCGGCCAAGGATTGGTCCATAATGCGCCTTCTGCCACTCGATCATGAAGAATTTGGCGAGTTGATCCTTGAAAATGCCATTCTGCAATCGCTTTTGGCAACTCTGTTTCGGCCTTTGCTCACAACCACCTATGACAAATGGTTGGTCTTCAGCCCCACGTAATCTTCTTTCACTCTCCTTTAGCGAATCATGCAGATATCTGTCGAACAAGATGTGTACTTCCTTCCCTTTGCCAATGCTGCCGCATGCATGGCCCAAAAGTCGTCTTGCGAGATTTCCGTATGATGATATGTTGCCAATGGCTGACAGATATGAGTGAAGCAGGAGTCCACCATCAATCAAAGTTGCATCAATGGGAGGCAAGGATGTCATTCCATCTTGCAATGACTCAAGCTTGTTCAAGAGTTTGCTCTTATCCGTCTTCAACCGTGAACCATCAGGTTGTGCAATTGAGAGAGGAACATCTGTGATCGGGTAAGTGACGACATGTTTTAGATCGAAGTTGGTTTTCTGAGAAATAACCACAAGCATACGGACAAACCGGTCCCGTTGACTGTTGACTGCTGGGATCGCTTTGGAACTTGCGGATTGCTTGACCTTCGTGTTCTCACTGGCGAAGTTCTTCACTTTTCTCCGTCGTATGGGCTTCACTAATCTGGAGCTGTCCTCGGAGCATTCTTCCCTGAACTTTTTCTGCAGTTCATGACCAGTTTGTAACGAATCTGTGAGGTACTCTTGTGTCGATGGAGAGGCTGCTTTTCCTGTGGCAATATTCAACAGACTTGACGATGTGATGGCGGGTTCAGAGAATGGGTCGCATGATTCCGACACTGCTGTGAGAAGAGCCTGGGATTGGCGGTTGTCTTTTTTCATTCGACTTGCACGATGCTGTGTTCTTGGCTGCTTCTCTGGTAAGAGTCCCGTCATCCGTCGCAACTCTGTTACGGACATTGCTCTCTGCGTTGACGTTATACACCATCGCCGTATTGCATTGGGAGAGTTATGGAATCCAACAATTCCCTTCATTGGGGAGGCCGCATCTCTGTTCACGGTTTGCTCTAGCGTTAGGTCTACTGCTGTTCTTGAAAAGGACTTGGATGTACGTCGAATTGAAAAGGCTCCTTTCTCCAGTACAGCGCGAATCTTCGGGTCAGCAGCTTGAAGTGTGGTGAGAAAATGTACTCCCCATCGAGCATAGTTAGGGCGATTTAGTCCGAAGAAGACATCGATGACTGTCAGAAGAATGGTGATGTAACTCTCTACATCACTAGTAACATAGAAACCACAATAATAATATGCGCACAACTAGCGCAATATTTCTTTATTCTGTCTGTATTACCTACAAGACAAGTCCTCTCTTGATGCCATCAATATGATCCAGATCTAGATTAGCATTCTGACTATTCTTGCACACATTAAAACCACATTAACCATTCTATAAGATATCATAATCTTCCGAGGGCTTACCCTCATTTTCACATAGTATAATCTATGGGATTTAAGTATATATTTGGTCAATGTCTAGTATCAACTATTTGGCAATGTATGCTGTGTATTTCACCGGGTGTAACTAGCCTTATAATAGGCTTTAATATAGCCTACCATCATCGCTTTGATGATTGTGGGTCCAGGTTCATGGCGATGATGGTCTCTCCTTAAGCTATTGATCTATTAACAATCTGTACACACATAATATCCAGTTGGTCGTTATAGTTTGATATAATCTAACAACACTTTTCTTGTTTGATCCTAAAATTGACCGTTAACTCATTAGAATTTTCAAAAAATAGTAGCAGTTGACAAATTATCTGGGAACCAGTTATCTGATGAATCTCTCCACTGTGCGTTCCTTGCGTCGTTGTTGTTTGTTGATTGCCCGAATCGACGGGATTCCCAACTTTATTGGGCCTCGGGGTATGCCTAGATGTATAATTGCTGAAGCGTGATTGGTGGCGTTTCATGGGAGGACCAAGCTAGCATTGGGGAATTAATTCTTCATTTGGCCCCCATATTTTGATACCCCCCCCCCCCCCCCATTCCCTGGAGTGCTTATGTTCAATTATAACTAGTTTCATAAGTGGTACCTATATGACATCTAGACTAAGCCCTAGATGGGTCCGTACCCAAGGGTTCCATTTTTGGTGGGTCTTGGCAGGTACCAACACCAATTGAGAATTACATTTCTGAGTCAATTGCCCCATTGTATTCCGCCAGAGAAGTGCTTGTCACCTTATAACCCTTAGTTTCAAGTGATACCTATATGAACATCTAGGCCTAGCCTAGATGTACCCACAGTGGCCCAGGCGGTATCAATATGTTGGGGGTGCTGTGCACACACGCTTACACAGGTCAAAATTTCGGCGTAGCCTGTTTTGTGCTCTAGGAATAGAACCTGATCATATTCGGCAATCACTTTCACTTGGTACTTTTATTGTCCTCGCATGTCTAGCCTAAATATTTAGGAGCCTTGGGGGTTCCTGGCTGGGCCTTTAAGCAAACAGCGAAAATTTCTTTGATATATGTTTTGAGTGTTATATTTGAGCAGTTACACTCACCTATGGTACTTCATAATTGCAATTGGTACCTCATATGATCATCTATTTCAGGACACCATGTTTTTACACCCTTGTGTGGGGGTTTCCCCTGTCTATACGTCAACGGGGGGTACCCGTCCAGAAATAGCATTTTCTTATAAGTCTTAGGTGACACCCTTGTAGTACTTCCAATACGCTAGATTATTGGTAACCGTTTATTATTGAGTTTTTCATCGCCTCTAGTCATATTCTTAGTTCTTCTATCCCTCTAAGCCTCTGGACTGCCGTCTAATAGCCCGATTGCGTCCTTGTGAACGAACTCATACACTGTTGTGTGCTTTTAAAACGAAAGTACATGTTATTGGATAACTACCACTAGTGGAAGTTACTATTTATTTCACCTTATCGTAAAGGATCTATTTATTATTCATCGAATTGGTCCTGAAACCCTGGATAATATTATAGGCAACATACACTCTTGCAGAAATAGCACATGAGCAAAGATAACGTGGTCAACGTTTGGCAATTAAAGTGGTATACAATACCCTTATGATAACGCAATTCCTGGATCCCTCGCCTAGTGAATTCAGTGGGTTCTGTTGTGAAAGTGCAGATCTATTCGCCTCGAGCCGTAAAAATAGTGTGGCATAGCGCGTTTATTTCGTTTTAAAGCGGGCACCGCGAAAATCGGATTTCGTGATTCCGCTCTGCTCTGACCTCTGTTTATTTGTATGTGTTTCGTACCTGCACCCTGCCGTCTATACACTTAAACTCATGTAAATCTAAAATCGAGTTGGAATTATGCGCTGATGGAATGTAAGATTCATTATTGTGTTTCGCGACCCTGTTGTTATGATACTTTATTAAATTAATTCGTAGAAAGTTATAATATACTTATTAAGTAATAAGATTAAATTGAGATATTGTAAATCTATTACCTTGATAATAAGGAGAGTGTGGCACATAGTTGATCAGTGAAACTCTAAATCACTTATAATAACATTTAAATGAAAACATTAAGCGGCTAATCTTTCCACAGGATCATCCGTCACGCATTGCTTAATTTTTATTCCGTCTCAGCATCGAATATATCGGGTGTCGATTAATCCCTGACTAGAGAACTTTTTTATCTAGTTTGCAAAATTAATGTATAGGGCATAGGACCGGCGAATAAGGCATAGCGAACCTGTTGTGGGGCATGTCGGTCGGAAACAAATAAGAATCGTCCACCCACCTTGTATTCCTGGCGTCTCCCTTAAAATTACTCCATGTATAAGATATTATAGATTTACTGTTTAAGCCAATATTATGATATACCGAGTGAGCGTTGGTAAGAACCTGTAAAAAGCTAAATAATTAGGCTTAATTGACCGTACTTGCCAATATTCTACTTCACAGTTCTTGTATAATTTTGTCGTGTAGATTAATAATTCAAACGCATTC